TCTCTAATGTTGCAAAAAGTCGCAAAAGAAATCTTTGAAGTTTCTTAGGTTTACAGCCTATTCAGATATTAAACACAATCAGGTTGATCATAAGCTTAACAAAGTAAGCATTTCATTAGCAAACTTTATATCAAGCAAATTTAAGCGAAATCAGCTAGCATAATTCGAAAATAGGTTTAGTCATAAATCATAAATTGTACAGCAGTTGTCTACAATAATAACCTTTACATTAATTATGATAAAATTTCCTGTGTTTATAAAAATTCTGAATGAATTAAAACTTAACAACATTTTTATTACAAACACTGAATTTATGCTACGTAAGCGCATCATTACGTTGCTTCTAAAGGTCTGGAGGAGAATTTAACAAGGTAGCTCCATGCTATCCTCCATTATCCATGAGCAAACAATAGGCAACACATGACATGATACCGATGTTCTGCAACAGCTGTCACTAAAGCTTTTCAACTATACTAATGGTTATTGCTCTTTGTGGTAAATACTACATAACATCAGGAATATATTTTGTGCATATATTTGCTAAAGAACAGTGATAGGTTTTGTTAGCGAACAACCAATTTAAATGGTCTCCCCGAATAAATGTGGCATTAGCAATTCAGATGTTATAATTACCACTGTAATTGGAAGACTACCATTTAGGATAACTACCCAACAACATTCCGGTTATATATTTTGTCTATAATAGTCCATGAATTCAACAGAAAACACCTAGATTTTATTACACTTAGAATGCAAATGCACGTACATTTAATATGCAGAGAAAAACAAGAACTGGTTTTACGATTTTATGTTCTGATCTGTAATTTAGGAAAATAGATGCAAATTAGAATTTTAAATGTTATGGTACGTTTTATCAATCAAAGTATGTTATTCAGGTATAGATGAAGATTATAATACGAGAAGGTGCAATCACGTTCAGATACTCTGACTAATACGTGGAAAGTTTAAAGTACTGCGAAACGTCTAAAATTACAGTTTATAAGACGATTGGTGCTGCTCATTTCCAGATGGTAGGCAAGGAAAAATGACAAACATTGAAGCGTATACTCCTCAGTCACTATGGTTGCAATGAATGGCAAACGAATGAGCAGAGAAACGGTTATTTAATGAGTCACTAGCAACTGAGTCTGGCAGAGTTCATGCAGAACTGCACTAAAGTATTCGAATAGCGAAAATATTCAAAGAACCAGTCACTATGGTCTGTTCCGAAGAAGGGCTTCCTAATCAACGTTCTGAAGGTTCAGTAAAAGCTCACTTCATTATAAGAACAGTACAATTCCTAGCAAAACCATAATTATATGAGCAGTCACTGAAATGAAATTAAAATGCGAAATAATTACGAACTGCAGATGGAACAACACAAACCATTCGCCATGGCTGATAGAAACTTTTAAGGCATCGTATTTTTTTATTAAAGCGATAGGGGTGCACTTACAACTGAGCAGTCCAGGTTGTCTGCAGAATTCTCCAAAACTTCGATTTTCATGGTCTGTCGAACAGTCAAGAATGCCTTCATATATTCCTGGCATTTTTATGCTACTAATTTTAAACTGAACTTAAAACTTTCAAGCTTCTTTATTATGCCATCTTGCTACAATAGTAATTTTGGCCAGCTTTCAGTTTCTTAACCAGTCAGTCCGTCTCAATTCTATTTCTTGAAAAACTGGTGAAATAGACAGTAGCAGGTAGCTTGTTTAGGATATTTTATCGCTACAAACCTGATTAAGCATGCCTCCTTCAAATCAAATTCATTTTGCTCTGCTTTGTGTTGTTTTGATGACCTATAGTTTGCACAGACACACTTAAATCTACAGAGTACACTTTCATTTGTACCTCATCGATAGTCGTAATCTTAGTACCAATATCCATCATTCTCTGTAGTAATACCAGGGTCAGCTAACGTTAGCGCTGAGGAATTAACGATGCCATCGTCTACTTAAAGAGGACGACGCAGGCAGCAATTTTAAGACCGTTAAATTTCAAGCGAATTTCAGGAGCTTGGTTATGGAAGACGTGAAGGGCAGGAGTTTCATTTCACCATTTCATGATATTACTTCTCAGAGAACCTACAGCAGATATTTCTTACCACTTGCCACTGTCAAGAGGCACTTGGTGAACAACATTCACGAGTTTAATTCAAGGATAATCCATTTGAGATGGTGATTATAATCTTTCCGTTAGGAGACGTAATTACAGTGCAGAT